TGCGTTTGAAGAATGTACGTAGCACTTTCTTATATATTTTTACACATTGAAAACTGGACTTGGTGTAACTCTTTCTTTCCTGTTATCCTGCAAAGTTGATGCTTAAGCCTCAAGCTGATTTCATTGGTGCATGAGAAACAGTGGGTGCAATCTGCAAGGAACCAGATTCCCTCCGGCAGCAGAGTAAAATGGCTGTCTGCATCACCCCTCGAGTACTAGTAGGTGCTGTAGTCCCATGGGGCCAATGTGCAGATTCTTTAAAATTTTTTATATAATTGTGTAACTTTTTTTGCATTTTTACCGGATGACATTGTTTTTTACAATAAAACCTTTTCTGATTGAAAACTTTTTTAAAAAGCATATGTTGGGATTGCATGAGAGCGTGTCCACAAAGCCTATGAGCAGAATTGCTAACACAGAGGGCCCAGGTTCGAGATCGCCTCCTCTGTCCGGACAGCCTGCTTGTCCTCAGGACATAGAAGCAGGTCTGCGCGCTGGTTCACGGAGCGGAGCAAGGCCCGAGGCCGCAGGCAGCTCCTGGGCCGGGCCGCAGAGCAGCAGTGGCGCGGACAGAAATGTGAGCTGGGAGCGCTCTCCCTTCTGGGCTTCTCACCGCAGCTGCTCTGTGGTTTCTGCCCTGTGTGCCCTGAGAGAACTTTGGCATTTGCTGAAAGGTCATGGGCTGAAATTTTAGATCACTGGGTAACTCGAACACCTAACACCGAAACGCAGCTGTGAGGACTGATTGCGGCACTCAGCCAGCCTGGGCTAGGTGGTGGCAGAGGCAGCAGAGCCCGCGGCCTTCGATGGGAAGGTGGACGGCTGCTGATAAAGGACACTCACCAATGCCTCTCCCTCCCGACCCCGCGGACCCAGTCTTCCCCCACTCTTCACATCCACGGCTGCCGGGCACCCTGCTTCCCCCATAGTTGCTTTAAAGCAGGGGTTGGTTTGTTTCACTTCCAATCTGGTGTGGAAAATACTTTATAAAGCTAATAAAAAGAGTTACTGGAAAGGTCAACAAGCACATGAAAAGATGCTCAACATCACTGATTATTAGGGAAATGCCAACCAAAGCCACAAATTAGATATTTCACTGAACTCATCAGAATGGCTGTTATACAACACACACACACACACACACACACACACACACACACACACGAAAATAGCAATAGTTGGCAAAGATGTGGAGGTATTGGAACCCTTGTGTACCGCTGGTGGGAAGTAAAATGGTGCAGCTGTGTGGAAAGAGTTACGGTAGTTTCCCAAGATATTAAATATAGGATTAACCTATGAGCTAGCAATTCACCTTCTGCGTATGCATCCTAAAAAAAACCCCTGAAAGCAGGGACTCAAAGAGATATCCACATTCATGGCAGCATTATTCACAATAGCCAAAAGGTAGGAGCAACGTAGGTGTCCGCTGACAAATGGATGGATAAACAAAATGTGCTGTATCCATAGGATGGAATATGACTCAGACTTAAAAAGGAGGGAAACTCAGGCAAATGCTACGATATGGACGAACATTATGCTAAGTGAATAAGGCAATCACAAAAGGACAAATATTGCATGATTCCACTTATACTGGTATAAAGTACCTAGAATAATTAAATTCATAGAGACAGAAAGTACCAGCTGCTGGGGACTGAGTGGAAATTATTGTTTCCTGGGCACGGAGTTTTATTGAGAAGATGAAAAAGTTCTGGAGATGAATGGTGGTTGCAAAATAATGAACTTAATGCCAATGAATTATACACCTAAAATAGTTGAAATGGAAAAAAATTACTGGAAATAGTGAAATTTAAAAATAGTTATAAAATATAGGGCCTGATTGTTTAGTGTTAGATTGCAATTTCATTTAAAATTAAATTACATTTTATTGTTGAATTTAAGTTACATTTTAATAAATATGAACAGAACAAGCATAACATTTGAAAAGTGCTATAAATACTCTCAATTTTCCTACCTACCTGCTCATGGACCAGTACAGTTTGCAGACTGTCCATGATCCACTTGTATTTTGCTTTGCAATGAAGTGACTTTTAAAAAATGTACAGCTGCATGAATTGTAGCACACAAATTCAAGTTGTTATCACTAGCAGCAGGATATAGAACAGTTCCATCAGGCAAGATACTCCCGTGTTCTGTCCCTTCCTCTCACTCCCAGCCCCCGGCAACCATGGACTTGTTCTCTAACTCTGTGATTTTGTCTGGCTGAGAATATAACACAAATGGAACCGTAGAGCATACAGTCTTTTGTTTTTGTTTTTTTAAAATATATTTTTATTGATTTTTTTTTTTACAGAGAGGAAGGGGGAGAGATAGAGAGCTAGAAACATCGATGAGAGAGAAACACCGATTAGCTGCCTCCTGCACATCTCCCACTGGGGATGTGCCCGCAACCCAGGTACATGCCCTCGACCGGAATTGAACCCAGGACCTTTCAGTCCGCAGGCCGACGCTCTATCCACTGAGCCAAACCGGTTTCGGCTAGAGCATACAGTCTTGAGACTGGCTTCTTTCACCAGCATAGTGCCTTTGAGATTCAATCCAGTGCTACGTGTAACAATAGCTTGTTCCTTTTTATTGCTGAATAGTATTCCACTGTATATCTACTATAGGTTTTCCATTCACCCTCGAAGAGCATTGTGTGCTTGTAGTTTCTGATAATTATAAATAGAACCGCTACAAATACGTGAGAATGGGTTTATGTGCGAATGTACAAGTTCATTTCTGTAAGGAAGATGTGCTGTCTACCCTGCATGACTGCTCTGCACCAATCATGTGGGGAACCCTTCATCAGATGACAAGGTCAGAGTTCAAAGGAAACCTGGACCCTGTGAGCTCCGCCTCTCTCTTCACCTGGCAGCCATTCCCGGGTACGAGCCAGCTCTTTCTATGATTATCTCTGAAGAATCACAGTTGAACCCCCACGTGAAAGACAAAACTTATTTGTTAGTGGCAACATGACTCAGCGGGACCACAGAAAGTTCCATTCTACAGGCCTCACCATTTCCAGAAGCTGCAGGGAGAGAGGGTTTTCTGGTTGAGGTCCTGGTGATGTCAGCATGCGATGTTCTGACAGAGCGGTTCCTCTTCTAGAGCTGGGCTTAGGGAAGCCTTGCACAGTGCAGGCCCACAGAGGAGGAGGCTTGCTGCAGGCTTCTGGAGGGCACACGCTTCCAAAGCAGCCTGGGGTGCAGCACGGCTCTGGCCCCACGGTGGGCGGCCGGCACCGTGATGTTGATGCAACCCTTGCAGCAAGGGATCGCCGTGGCACACGCACCCGGCCAGTTCTGTGTAAGTGGAGGTCTGTGGGGTGGGGGCAAGTGTGTTCTGGGGAAATTTTTCTTTTCTAATGAAAGGGAACTGGTGTAGTTGGAGCTGCCCTTTCTCTCCTCCGTATGGGCTCGATGTTCAGAGCCGTGGTGGCCATTTTGTGCCCCCGAAATGACAAGCCTGGGGGCAAAAGCCAGCACCAGGGATCACAGAGAAGAGAGAGAGGTCCTGAATGGAACCTTGAATGGCCGAAGGAGTGCCAACAGACACCTCTGGGTGCACGTGAGAAAACAGGGGGAAAATAAACCCCCACATATTTAAATCTCTCTGAGTTTTCCATCACTTGTAGCTAAACACATTCCAATCGAAATAACTGTCAAAGGAAAACAATCAAATTGCAGAGCAATGTGCATATTCTCATTTGTAAAATGAAATTATATATACATATATAATAGCTATATATACATAAAAAATTTGGAAGGGTAACAATAGCTAACAAGTATTGAGCACCAATTGTGTGCCAGGCACATCTTACCACTTTAATCCTCACAACCACACTATAAGGCAGATGTACAAGTGGGGAAACTGAGGCTCTATACCACTAGCACACCACTAGGTGGGGACTCAGAGTCAGGTCTGTCCATCCATAGGGAAAGTGCCTGGCCCACCCTATGCAGACCCCTCCCAAGCCTACTTCCAGTACAGACTCCCACCAGCTGCAATGGCAGTTATATCTAGGGAGTGGGTTGGGGGATGGGCTGGTGGTGAGGACTTTTTCTTTATATACTTCTGCAGTGTTTCCTTTTCAATAAGCAAGCATCTATATATATAAAAGCCTAAGCGACCAGCCAACTGGCCGACCGGCCAACCCACCAACCAGCCTACCGTCCAGTAGCTATAACACACACTGACCACCAGGGGGCAGACGCTCAAAGCAGGAGCTGCCAAGCTGCAGTCACTTGGCAACAGTGGTTCTCCAGTGATGAGCCGGGAACCAGAGAGGAAGGAGCCCGATTCCGGAGTGCATCACCCAAGAACTGCCCTGTCACAATCCGGGACCCCTTGGGGGATGTCGGAAAGCTGGTTTCGGCCTGATCCCCGCAGGCCAGGCCAAGGGACCCCCACCGGTGCACTAATCTGTGCACCAGGCCTCTAGTTTTTGTTATAAAAGTACAAATCTAGAGGAATTGATAAAATAACCCTGATGCTAGGCACTGTGCTAAGAATGTAATTTATTTCTTCCAGATTTGGATATCTCTTAGGGCTTTCCGTCCAATCATACATTTTTTTTGGAAACAAAAAGCATCCTTCAAACTTACAGGACAGAACCCTTGCTAAGAGGTCCCAGGACTGCCGTTACCTTATTATGTCACCTGGACCCCAGGTAAGATATCTGCCCACGTGCTCTCTATAACCAGGGGGAACGGGCTCGGCATCAGACTGTGCAGTCCTGGAATAAGAGGGCTTTGTGGATCTTTTTTAGTGGCCGAATTTCTCATCTCCCACCTGTTACTAAACGGTGGCTTCCTGGGTCTTTAAAGAGAGCAGCTCAACAAGAGAAAGCAGGTCTGTGTCTGGAGTTCCAGTTCTATTTCCAGCTGGCTGTGGGCCTTGGCAGCCCTCAGGGTAGCCACGCCCGAGAGCTATCCGGGAGGGCTTGCCCAGTGATCCAACCACGTGGCCTGGGGCGCTGTTCCTTAAAGGTCCTGGCCAGCTCTGCTACCACGGAGCGACAGCTCTCGGAGACAAGCAAGGGTTTCTGCAGGAAAAAGAGCGGGGTTTGAAAAAAGACCAGCCACCATGACGGACAGAAGCCCCTTCGAAACGGACATGCTCACCCTCACCCGCTATGTGATGGAAAAGGGGCGGCAGGCGAAGGGGACGGGGGAGCTCACGCAGCTGCTGAACTCCATGCTGACGGCCATCAAGGCCATCTCCTCGGCCGTGCGCAAGGCCGGCCTGGCCAACCTGTGAGTCCGGGAGCCGGTGCGGGTGCGCAGAGCCGCGGACCTGGGGACAGGGCCCGGGTGGGGTGTGGGCAAGCTGCAGGCACTTGGCAGGAAACCTGGCCAAAGCGCTTTGCCTCTGTGCCCTGCATGGAAGTTGCCTTAAAGTTTCTGTGCCCTTTGATAAAGGGGACTTTGACTTTTTTCAAGAAGGGAACAAAACACTTGGAGACATGCTATGGAGAAAGAATACATACGTATATAATTTTTCCAGTTGCCATTATAATGATAGCAAGCCCAGTGACTTGTTACGTTAAAACATGTTGAATTATTGTGACTTTTGTATTTGCATTCTCACTGGCACAGAGAACCAGCCAGGAGACCATGCTCTTTGCAGATGGGAACACTTTATTGTCATGACCTTGGCCAGTTCATCAGGAGCTAGGAATCATTATCGTTTACAAAATAACTTCTCAGGGCCCCAGCCTACATCTCCTTTCTTACACCGAAAGGGGCCTTTTGTCTTTAAAACAACCTTTTAATGTTCAGCATTCTATATGTTGTTCTCTTTGGTGCTTTATTCAAGCACAGAATGAGGCCAAGTTCAGGCCATGAGCACTGACCAACACAGCCAAGTGTCCAGTGTAAGTTTGTAATAAAAAGAAGCAGTCTTCGTTGGACTTCCCTTTTCATTGCAGTCATTCCAGTGAGGTCCTCCCAGAAGTTGAAGGGGCCTATTATTTATTACTAGAGGCCCAGTGCGCGAAAATTCGTGCAAGAGTAGGCCTTCCTTCCCTGGCTGCCGGCACCAGCTTCTCTCTGGCACCAGGGGCCCAGGCTTCCCTCCTCCCGTTGCCAGCAGGCACCTGGGACCCAGGCTGGCTTCTCTCTAGCCCTGGCTTTGTCAGAAAGGATGTCTGGAATGACGTCCGGAAGACGTCGGGTCTAATTAGCATATTACCCTTTTATTATTATAGACTTGAGGCCTGGTGCACAACATTCATGCACTTGGTGGGTGAGGGGTCCCTTAGCTGGGCCTGTGCCCTTTTGCAGTCCAGGAGCCCTCAGGGATGTCTGACTGATGGCGGGGTGGGGGGGGGGGGGGCGTGTGGGGAAATGGACCAGGGACCCTAAAATAAAACTGACTTACAAAGATAGCTCAAGAGCAGAGCGGTGTTCACCCCATCCACGAGGGTAACAATCGAGCGAAGGCTTCAGGCAGAAAAGCAACCCAATAAGAGTATATATCACCGGGG